AGGTTCGTCAGGAATCAAACCATGTTTTTTGTGCCGCAGCGTGTTCTTTAAGGGCGAAGTTCGGGATATAGTTGCTTATGATACGACGGGTGTCGCTGTTCACCACTCGGAACCAGATGCGTCGCGGCTGCAGCCGATGACGGCGCCGTTGCTCGATGCCATCTGCAACATATTGATCGAAGGGGTCAACATCATGAACAAGGGCGAGTTCCAGGAGTTGGAGCGCCGACTTGGCTGGAACACGGGACCCCCATTTGCCTGGGCGGGTTCGGGAACTCAAGCCGCTCGAGACAGTCATGTTTGATTGGATGCATTGTATTTTCGTCAGCGGTACATATAACATTCTGGCGTTCCAAGTGTTTCGAAGGTTCAAGGGTTACTGGGCGCGTGCAGACGCATATTTCCAGGGCTGGTCGTTTCCAGGGCGCCACTCCATCTCCCCCGACACGTGCGCGATCTTCAGCGAGAAGCGCGTGGGGTCCCACGTTGACAGCAAGCATTTCAAGTGCACCGCCAGCGAGGGGCTCGCAACCATGCAAGTATCATTGCATGTTTCGCGCCCCCGCCAGACCAATAATACATGCGCTGCAGCGCGCGTGAATTTCTGTAGGATATGTACTGCACCCCTCTTGTTCGGACATGCGTTCGCGCGGGCGGATTGACGTGTTTCTTCAGGGAGGTGGCCAGCGACGCTGCAGCGCCTGCAGTCCGATCGGCTTGCGCAGTGTTCGAGGCGCACGCGATCGTTGTGGAAGAAATCCTGCGAGTATCCAGGCGTCAGGCAGACGCGGATAAACTGCAGGCTGCGGTTAACAGGTTTTTGCTGTCATACAGCAGCGTCTTTGGCAAGGAAACGATGGCGCAGAAGTTCCATTACGTGCGCCACTTCGCCAACTACGCGAGGCGGTGGGGCCGTGTGGCGCTGCCGTCGCGCTGGGTTTTGGAGCGCAAGCACAAGACCAGCGAGCGCTTTGCGAACGCTCTTCAGGCGGGGGCTGCAGCCGCCAGCGGCTGGGACGCCAATGTCCTGAAGGGCGTCACCGGGCGGCACCTGTGGCAGCTCATGGATGGTTAACTGCCTGGTTAACGCCTTTAAGGTTAACTGCCTGGTTAACGCCACCAGGCCGTCCAAGGCCATCTCGCGCGAACTGCTGCAGCAGTTCGGGCCTGCGGACTTTGTTACGTCCGCTGCAGCGCGGTGCCGCTACCACGACGTCAAATACGGCGACGTCGTGCTGTTGGAGGACGGAGGAGGGGAACACATTGCGGCCGAGGTGTTGAAACACCTCTCCTTCACCAAGGACGGCCACTACTATGGCTTGAGCTTGGTCCTGCCCTCCTTCTTCAAGGAGAAGCTGCACCCGCGCGCCTCCGCGCGCGTGCTTGGCGGCGATGCCGACGCCTTTTGGGCGCGCACGGCGAGCATCGTGTGCTCGCTCGCGTGGGCGCCGCGCGAGGGCGGCGGCGTCCGGGCGGCGCGCCCGATATGGTCGCAGCCGCGGTGGTGCGCTTTAGCTCAAAACGTGGATTCCTTACTGGCGCTGCAGCGCACTTTTTTACATTGCTAAATGCTTCGGTGCTGCAGCACCTGAACGTTGCATGGTCGACGACTCCTCTTCTCCGCCTTGAAAACGTGGATTCCTTCTGCGTGGCGCTGTAGCGCACCTTTTTCATTGACACTTCGGTGCTGCAGCACCTGAGCGGTGCATGGTCGCCGATTCCTCTTCTCCGCCTCGTTCCTCCGCCTCCTCTTGCGCTGCAGCGCTAATGTCGTTGATCAGTGGTGCGGTCGTTCAAACTCCTCCTTCCCCTCATCCTCCCCCTTCTCCCCCTCCTCCTCCTGCTGCTGCTGCTCCTCCTCCTCATCTTGCTCCCCCCTCCTCCTTCTCCTCTCCTCCTCCTCCTCTGACGAGGGGAGGAGGGTGGAGGAGGGGGAGGGGGAGGAGGAGGAGGAGGAGAGCATGAGGAGGAGGACACGACGAGAAGCTCAGAGCGAGGAGGAGGAGGAGGAGGAGGAGGAGGAGGAGGAGGATGGAGGAGGAGGAGGAGGAGGAGGAGGAGGAGGAGGAGAGAGGAGAAGGAGGATGCAGGAGGAGGAGGAGGAGGAGGAGGAGGAGGGGATGAGGGGAGGAGGTTGACGAGGGAGGAGCGGAGGGTTAGGAGGACGAGGAGGAGGATGAGGAGGAGGAGGACGAGGGAGGAGTATATGATGATGACGAGAGGAGGAGGGCGAGAGGAGGAGGCGGAGAGGAGGAGGAGGAGGAGGAGGAGGAGGAGGAGGAGGAGGAGGAGGAGGAGGAGGAGGAGGAGAGGAGGAGGAGGAGGAGGAGGAGGATAGAAGGAGGGGGGAGGAGGAGACGCCGCCCGCGCGCGTGCGGCTTACAGGCCGCGCGGGGAGCGCGCCCTCCCTTTTCCCTTTGCTTCGCGGCTCGGGATCGCCATCGAAAAACATATCAAGACATGTTTTTCGATGGCGACCCCGAGCCATGGGGCAGTCTCCTCTCGGAGGACCCCTCGGGGATGTCGGGGATCCTCCTCGACATCCCCGAGGGGTGGGACGGGCTCGGCAGCCATCGGCCCGTCGCACGTCGTCGTCCCCCAACCCTCTGGGTTGTGGACGACGGCTACGTGCGGTGGGCCGCTCTGGCTGCCGAGCGGCGCGCGGGGCCCCCCCGCCGCCCGCGCCAGCGGCAATGCCGCTGGAGATGGCGGCGCAGAGCGCGGCGCAGGCGAACTTCGCCTGCGCCGCGCTCAGCCGCGCCAGGCTGCCGCTCGACGCGGCGGCCCTGCAGGGCCGCCGCGTCGAGCGGCCGTCTTGGGCTGAGGCGCGCCCGTCGCCGCCTCCGCCGCCGCCTCCCCCTTTCCTCCTCCTCCTCATCCTCCTCCCCGTCCTCCTCCTACTCCTCCTCCTCCTCGACATCTCCTCCTCCTTCTCCTCCTCCTCATCCTCCTTCTCCTCCTCCTCCTCTCTCCCCCTCCTCTTCCTCCTCCTCCTCCTCCTCCTCTTCCTCCTCCTTCTCCTTCTCAGAGTCCGCTAACCACTTAGTAAGTCCGCTAACCACTTAGTAAGTAAGCTAGCTAGCGGACTTACTATGTGGTTACTAAGTGGTTAGTAAGTGGTTACTGGGTGGTTACTAAGTGGCAGCTAAGTGGTTACTAAGTGGTTAGCAAGTGGTAGCTAGAGTGGGGACTTAGCGAGCTAACCTCTACTAGAGACTTAGCAAGGTTAGCCTCCAGCTATAAGTGGTTAGTATATCCTACTAACCAGTTGTAGCTGGTTATACAACTTACATCCTACTTACAACACTTATAACCTACTTACAACTCACTTGTACGTACATACTAAACCCTCTCACCCCTTAGTATCCGCGCTAACCACCTAGCAGCCGCCGCGGCCATCCAAGCAGGACCGGGGGGGGGGGGGTCCAGGGCGGGGGGAGGTCGGAGACGGGGAGGGGTCCTGCAGGACTGGAGGTGGGCCCCGGACCAGGGAAGGTCGGGGACCGGGAAGGGTTGGGGTACGGGGGGTCGTCGGCTTGCGGCTCTGCGTGGGCATGGGAAGTCTGGTTCGGTTCATGCCAGTCCGGTTCGGAGGGCCACCCGTTTCCGGTTCAGTTCCGATTTTGGTTCGGTTATGTTCCCTTGTTTTGGTCCGTATCGGTTCGGTACGGTCACGGTGCTCGGTTCTCAGTTCTCGGTTCGGTTTGGTCTTTTCATGTTTCTCACCACGAACCAGGAGATCGCAGAGGGTCCCCGATTCGAATTGCGCCCGACGTCTCGTCGGAATTCCCTCGGGATCGCGGTTTTGCGGTCCGCGGTCCGGTTCTTGTGCGTGGCGCGGTGCCGCATGCTTCGCGTTGCACGGCCCATGGGACCTTCAGACGATTTACGTGTTTGCTTTGCGTGTGGAGTGGTCTGACAAGTTGTTCATCGATTATTGACCTTCATTGCCATCGGTCCGCTGAAAAGAAAGAGCTGCCGCGATCGACGGCCGCCTGTTGGTCCGAGCTAGTTCCCCCGCTTCTCGGAGGGGCCATGCCCGGACCCCCGACGTCGTGAGAAACTCACGACGTCGGCCCCCCGAAGTCTGGAGACCTTCCCTGGGACCTGTTTTTCATCCCGAGTCGTTTTTGTGACGCTCCCGAGGCCCAGCGGGGGCCTCCAGAGGCCGAAAATTATCAAAGAAGCCTTCGTCGCGAGTTTCTCGCGACGTCGGAGGTCTGGGCGAGGACATTGGCCCGAATTCTCCGCGGCCTCGCCCGTCTCACGCGGGCCATTCTACACTACACGGCCGTGCGGGGCGTCGCCCGCGCTCGCGCCGCCTCGGCGTGCCCAGCCTCGGCGCGCTGTAGCGCCGTCGGGGAGGCGGTTGCCCTGCCACCGCCTCCCGCCGCTCGCGGGCGGCCTCCTCCCCGCCCTCCACAAGAGGAGGGGGGACGGGTCCCCAGACATGATCGCGTCGTACAAAAATCAGGACGGGAGGTTTTTCGCTATCTTCGACCTCTAGAGGCCCTCGCGGGGCACCAGGACCGTCAAACAACGACTCAGGATGACAAACCAGTCCCGGGGAAAGGGTCGGGACTTCGGGGACGCCGTCCTGAAAAAATCAGGACGTCGCATGTCTGGGTCGGGGGGTGGCCGCAGTTGAGGTGGCTCTTCGCTCGGCTTTCCCTCCTCCCTCGCACGCAGCGCTCATGACAAAGAGTCCCAGGGAGCCCTCCACCCCTCCTCCTCGTCCTCCTCCTCCTCCTCCCCTGCACGGTCTGCGGCGTGCGAGGTCTCGCGGCCCGCCTTCGTCGTGGCCCTTCGGGCCGTCGCTCGTTCGCGCTGCGTGGCCCCTCGTGGCGGGTCCAGCCGCGACGAGGAGCTCCCCAGAGGCCCCCGGAAGGCCGAAACGCGCCCAAGCCCCTCGGCCCTCCTCTCGCCTGCTTCCTCCCCCCCTCGGCTCCTGCACCTCTCTTGGGGCCGGCCCCTGCCGCGGCCGCCGTGGCTCGGGGCAGTGCGAGGCCGGGGGCGCGTTCCGCGCCCGTCCACCGAGAAATGCCGCCCCCACGTGGCTCCCGCTCGCGCTGCTGGCGACCTGCTGGCTGGCGACCCTCGCGGAGAGGACCGCGCTGGAGGCGAGCGACGGCACAGAAATGGTCGGCTGCGCAGACATCGGCGCGTGGGCTGTCCGCGTGAGGCCGCGCGAAAGCCCTCTTCTCCACGCGGCGTGCCGCCCTGGCGACCCGCGCAAGCCACCGCGTAAGGTCGCCTCGTCGTCGCGCTTCAGACCTCGTTTCTTCCGTCGTTCAGGTGGGACACCGCCACCTGCGGCTGCACGCTGTCCGTGACACAGCTGTTCGGGACGCAGACGCGCGGGTCCGCCAGAAGGCCGCCCTGGCCATCGGGCACGGCGGCCCGGAGGCCGCGGGCCGGGCCGTGCCGGAGCTGACGCGCGCGCTGCGGAACGAGAGCGCGACGGTCCGCACGGTCGCCGCCGGGGCCATCGGGGAAGGCGGCCCGGAGGCTGTGGGCCAGGCCGCGCCAGAGCTGACGCGCCTGCTGCTGGAGAGATGGAGGCCAAAGAGAGGCCGCGCAGGCCTGCAGGGCTGGCGGCGTGGACATTGTCAGGGCTGCAGCCGCGCACCTCAGGCCCCTGCTGGACACCTCCAGCAACGTAACGACGCGCGAGAGAGCCGCCTTGGCTACAGGGCTCCGGCCAGTCTGCCATCGAGGAAGCTCTTCCGCTCCTGCGCAGCATGCTCAGAGAAGCCCCCAGTCGTCATAATCGTCGTACAGAAGAAGCTGACTACCGAATGCCTACAGCCGCTGCGCGGGCCTTGGAACAGGCCAACGCCAGCGGTGTGGTGATGGACACCATCCCCGACTGAAACCGAACGCTTTTCATGCTGAAGGGCAACCACAAAGACTTCTTGGGCTGGGGTGAGTCCGACATCAGGAACTCCGCAATCAGGGAGGTGCATGATACGTTGATCCAGTTCGTTAAGGAGGCCGAGAGTATTTGCTCAGACTTATTTCGTCGCCAAGTAGGCCAGAGTCTGCCTATCGGTCGGTGGTCACTGAATGTTACTGAAGGATACATGGTCATGTCAGGTCGTTCAGGCAAGGGAACGCAAGCCCATCGCTGCCCAAACAGGGCTTGCCCTGGCGAAGTGCTAGACACGTTCTACGCCATCGACACGTCCACTAACTCCCCATGACAGCTCCCAGCCGGACACTTGCCCTCTCACGCGTCAGAGCGATGGCGCGAGAGGTGGGAAAAGAGACGGTCCGTGCGCAACCGGCTACGACAGCAAGGTCGCCGGTTGCGCTGGTTGCCTCGACTCGTGGGGCCGATCGCAGACAAATCCGTTTGAGTGCCAGCAGTGCGGCATTGCGGAGTTGCAGTGGGCTGTCTGGCTGATCCATCCAGCAGCGCTGCTGGCGCTCTCAATGCGAAGTGCCGACTCGGTTAGGGTGAGAGGTGATCAGGAGCAACGATATGGGGGGATAAGCATATGGGGGGATGCATCGACCCCCAATCGCCCATTGATCGCCGATAGGAGCCCGATGGCCCCAACCTGCCCAGGAAGGTGCGGACTCACTATCGGAGGCCTATCGCCGATCTATCGGCGATGCATCGCCGATTCCAGGTCGATGCTTCCTCCCCAATGCCTATCCCCCCTATCGTTGCCCCTCAGGTGACGCCGCCGCCTTTGGAAACGACATGCTGAAGATCTTCCTCTCTTCCAGCGCCAATTCGGCCGTGGTGGTGTCGGCGCTGGCGTCCACTAGTATCTTCAGAAGCCTTAGGACGCAGGCACAGGAGGTTCTGAGGTGGTGCAGTGCGGTCACTCAATCTGGCGAGGCGGCTCATTCTTCGAGCCCCGACTGCTTGCTTGGTCTCGGGCGGGCACTCTCGCTCAGCGAGTGGCTGGGGGTGTCGTTGGCGAACCCAAATCATCGTCCTGGCCCTTGCAAGCCCCAGTTCTCGGTGTGGCTTGCCGCCTGCGGGCCACGAGTCTCACGGAGGGACTGTGGACGCTGGCGGTGGTCGGGGGGCATTGGTTCTTGCCCACCTCCTCCTCCTCCTCCTCCTCCTCCTCCTCCTCCTCCTCCTCCTCCTCCTCCTCCTCCTCCTCCTCCTCCTCCTCCTCCTCCTCTCCTCCTCCCCCCCCCCCCCCCTCTCCGCGACATGCGCGCAAGTTCTTCCATGCGTTCGCACCGCTGCCGGAGGCGCATCCCTGATGGCTTTCTCCGTCTCGGAGGGGTGCGGGAAGAGGTGGAGTTACGCACCAGTCCGCGGAGTCTCGTTTCTCTTGGCCTTCGCTGCCGGGCCCGGGCTGTGGAGGTGGCTTCTTCGCAAACGTGAGGGATGGCACTTCCTCGGTTTCCTCACCGCTTCGTACCGTGCAACGCACCAGGCGTGGGAGGCCAATCGCCTGACGAAGAACATGGCCTTGGCGATCATCGTCGCAGCGTCTCCAGTGACGTACTGCTCGGGACAGCTGTTCACTATCGCGGTTTGCATCATGTTCTTCTACACCGTCTACCACGTCAGGACCCACCCGTACAGGCTGAATTTCCTGAATTCCGTCGAGACCACATCCCTAATGGTTCTGACCACCTCCATGGCGTTGTCTGGCTTACTCGTCAGCCCGACGTGGTACATCACCGAGAGCTTCGGGCAGGCACTCCCGTGCGTGGTGTTCGCCCTGCTTCTAACGAATTGTCTTCTTCCTCATGGCGGTCTTGGCGTGGGCCAAGTTCATGTTGACGGACGATCATGCAATCTTCACTGATTTGGGATGAGGAGCCGCGCGTGCATTGTAAAATTATTTCTCAGGGTCCATCTTGGCTGGTGCTTGGTCCCGAATCGATTTCTGACAGTCCCGGGGCTCTAAGAGGACCCCGGAGGCCGAACATGTAACTACGAGGGATTCCCAACACAAATCGACGAGCATTTCCCCCCCGATCGAAATCCGCTGAAATCTGGCGCTTGGACACCTCCCGGGGTCCATCGTGGAACGTTCTCCATCCCGGATTGGCTTCTGGCGGCCCCGGGGCCCGGAGCAGGTCTCGAGAGGCCGAAGATTGCGAAGCATTTCGAACTTCGATCCTCGACATGCCCCCCCCCCCCCACCCACAATTTCCCAGTAGGAGTACTACTCTTATGATGCTCCAACCTACTTTAGCCTTGATCACCAGAAAGAATTCCGAGCGCCAGAAAAAGTTCCGAAATTCAATGGTTTTCACGTGTCGGGCCCTGGGAGACTCGCCCGACACTTTTTCGACACTGTTTCGACACTCTTCTGACACTTTTCCGGGTGCTCGAATTTATTCCTGGATGTGGTCCTAAAGCAGGATGGGAACAACATAATACTGCTCCCCTCTTTCCCGCGAAGACCCCCGGAGAGTATTGCGCCCCCCTCCACGCAGCGGTTTCTGTTCACGCACGTGTTCCCGGCCGCTCGCCACAGACCATGCGTCCAGCAGGACGCGCCGGCAGGGGCTCGACAGGGGCGCGCGGGGGCCCCCAGACTCCGGCAGCAGCTGGGCCCGCACCGTTGTGTTTTTGTTTTTGTTTTTGTATTATTATTATGATGATTATTATTATTATTATTAAAACAAATATTTGTTCATCGGGAGCGTTTTCTTCGGCCCTTTTCCGAAGGGCGCTCTCGCCTCGGCGCCCGCCGCACCCCCGCCCACCCCACACAGTGTTCCTTTCTCATTCTTCGAAGGTTACCTGGTTTTTGTTTGGGGGGGCCGAGATCCTTTCATTTCTGGTTGTTCTATCCTGGGCCTCTTCCTGGCCACCAGGGGGCCAGGAGCAGCTAGAAACGAGCACACTCAGAAATGAGCACGACCAGAAATGAACGTCGTGTAAGACTCGAGTTAGCCGGAACTCGGGTTTGCCGACGCTTTTGTTGGCGGGCGCGTCCTGGACGTTGACGGCCCCGTTCTCGTGGGGTGTTTGCAGTGCGGGAGCCCGCGTCAGATTCGAGAGCGGGACTCGTCATGTTCGTGGTGGCCCCGTCAGGCCAACCCGAGCCCCCGAAACCAGTGGACGCAATAGCAAAGCTCAGCGGCCCGCGCGCATTGCCATGGGGTCGGCGGCTCGCTTCAAACAGGGCTAGGATCGGGATAAATCGCTCCAGAGCGTTCCGGAGCGCTCTCAGAGCGTTCCGGAACGCTTTGGAGCGGCCGCGGCGCCCAAGACATCCTCCAAACCCGCCGATTCTCAGAGATTTCGAGTTATCCCGATCCGATTTTGCCCCGATCTTCGCGTCGTTTTATTGCGCGGGTCGGCCCGGCGCGCTCCGACTTAAAGGTAGCCCGAGACCGGGGGGGGGGGGCGCTGTAAGGCGCGGCTCGAGGAAGCACCCCGCGCATCGGCGTCTCGCCGCGCGCCTGCCGCCCCCCGCGCGCACTGCCATGGGGTCGGCAGCTTGCGCGGGCCGGCCCGGCGCGCTCCGGCGCCTCGGCGCCGAGTTTCGGCCCCTTTGCTCCGGCCTCGGCGCCTGCCGCGGTTCGCGCGGGCTGCGCCGGGCGCGTGCCCGGGCGGCAGCTGCGGCAGCTGTCGTCGTCGTCGTCTTCGTTCTCCTCCTGCTACTCCTCCTCCTCCTCCTCCTCCTCCTCCTCCTCCTCCTCGTGCTACTCATTCTTCTCATCCTTTGTCCGCCTCCCTCTCTTGCTCCCGCCTCCTTCGCATTTTCAGGCAGGAAGGTCAGATGCGACACCCGACTCGGCGGTGAGAAGACAGATGATCAGCGCAATGAGACGGGATGGGAAGGAGGGGTAGGATGTCTGATGGGGCGCGAGCGCACCTAGCCTGTCCCCCCCCCTTTCTCCCTTCCGACTCGTCCTCCTCCCTCGTCCTCCCCCCGCTCATCCTCCCTTCTCCCCTCTTATCCCCTCCGGCCTTCCCCGGACCAAACTCCGCTCGAAATGGGTCCACGGACCTCTTCCGGGGTCTGTCCGACGCAATTTCTTATCCCGGATCGAGTCCCGACAGCCCCGGGGCCCGAAGACGGCCCGTGGGGGGAAGCAACGACGACAACACCGAACTCGACGATGTTGCTTCCCGTCGGCCCCTTCCGCTTCCGGCCTCCCGCCATCCCCTCCTCCATTTTCTCCCCCCCGCCTCCCCCTGCATATCGTCGACTCGTCCCGTCCCTTTTCTCTCTCACTATCTCTCTCTCTATTCCCCCAGGTGTGTGTGTGTGTAATGTCAGAGCGTGAATTACCTACCCCGCTTTCGCTTCCAGGCAAAACCAAGTCATACCACGCGCCTCCCCGTCGAGCGGCCTGACCAGTGCGGGCCGTAGTTTGGCATCGCTTGGTAGCTCTTGGAAGCGAGGGTGGTCAAAAGCGAGGTAGGTTCGTTTACCCCCTATAATGTGTATATATATATATATGTATACCGGGGTGCAGGGTGGGGGCCTCGGGGGCCGTCGCCTCCACGGCGCATGGGCCGTCGCCTCGACGGCGCCAAAAAGTCCCCCCCAGACGTGCCTAGCGTGGTCCACGACGGCAACCACTCGTCGACAGATCGCCCCAAAACGTCTCCAAGAGAGCCCTACAGGCCGCCAAGACGCCCAAAAAGGCCCCCAAGAGGCTTACCCACAGGGCCCCAAGAACCCCAAATCATTGACTGTCCTGAGGGAAACGTGCATTGTCAGCAGATGCGATTTTTCGGTTTTCGCGGCGTTGACGACGGCCCAATAGGTCCCCAATGTAGCCCCAAGATGGCCCCAGAGGCTCCCGAGAGGCTCCCAAGAGGGACCCAGGAGGGGGACAACGAATCGAAAATTCCAGGAGTTCGCCCGAATAATCAATTCCCAGGAGGCCCCAAGAGACTCCCAAGAAACCCCAAGAGACCACCGAGGGGCCTCAAGAGGCCGACAAAACCGGCCCCGAGAGGCTGCGAAACTGCTTCCAAGAGGCATGATGGGCTGAAGGCCCCTAGATACTTTGAGCGGCCAAGGGGAGGCCCCGTAGGGACCAGGAGGGGACCCATCGGATGACGATATGTGTAAGATCACCTGACTGCACCATCTTCCTGCTCTTCTTGTCCCCCTCGTTGCCTGCTCCTCCTCCTCCTCGTCAACCTTTCACAGGTTTCCCGCCCATTTTTTGTTTCAGGTACGTGATAATCGGTGGCCGACGACGGCGACGGAACGCCCCAACATGGGCGACGACGACGACGGAACGCCCCAAGCAGGCCCCCCAAGACATTCCCACAATTCATGTACCCAGCAGTCCTTGCGGGAACATGATTCATCGGGCTCCCAACATGGCTCCTCAAGAGGCGACGACGACGACGACGGACCGGCCCAACCAGCCCCAAACAACATTCCCAAAGATCATGCACCCAGAAGTCTTTGTGGGAACACGATTCATCAGGCCCCAGGCATGGCCGACGCCAATGACGCAGCGCCATCAGCAGCCCTCCAAGATAGGAGTACGCCCAAAAATCATGTTCCTAGAAGGCCTGCCAGGGACATGATTCATCATGCCCCCAACAAGGCTCCCAAGAGGCTATGATGAAGACGGAACGCCCCACGCAACCCTCCAAGACATTTCCAACATTCATTTTACCAACAAGCCTTCCGGGGACATCATTCCTTGCGCCTTCACAAGGCCTTCCCAAGAGGCGACTACAACGACGGAACGCCCCAAGCAGGCCCCCAAGACACTTCCAAAGTCATGTCCCCAGAAGGCTTGCCTGGAGCATGATTCATCAGGCCCTTCACGCGGGCGACGACGACGACGGAACGTCGCAAGCAGCCTCCAAGACATTCCCACCATTCAGGTTCCGAAACGGGCTACTGGGACTTGGATTCATGAGGCCCTCCCAACGGGCGACGACGACGACGGAACGTTTTCGGCCGTTCTCAGGCTCCACAATCCCTCATTGGTTTTCTGGAGCGAACAAACAGCGCAGGATAACAAAGCCGGATAGAGCTGATCCCGGGGAAGAGATTCACACATCCAGGGCTGCCGTTGGAAAAAATCGCGACGTCGGGGTTGGTGGGGGGAGGATAGGAAAAGCGGCGGAGGTTATTCAGTATCGGCTAACCGACCCCAACCTCCATTGAGCCTCCTACCAACCTACTCTTCCCCCCGCCGCCGAGGGAAGGATTTACCCCGTGAAACCCGAGGGAGACGGCATACATCCCACCGCGTGGGGGGGTAAATCGCTCAGTGAGACTAGGGCCACGCCAGTGGGGATAGGGGTCGGTTAAACGATCTCCAGTTATGAGATCAGCTGCACGCAGTTGATCTTAGCGGCCCGACGGGCGGCGGAGAAAGTTGTTCGGTCACCTTGCCCTGTCTGGTTTCCCAGATCGGCCCCACTAGGGCTCTGAGAGAAGCCCAATGTGGCCTCGAGAGAAAGCCAGAAGGGGGCCCAAGAGGACCCCAGGAGGGCCCCCCAAAGGCCACCCGACTGGCACCCAAGAGGGGCTCGAGGGTGCACTGTCGGGGTGCCATATTCGGGTCTTCTTGGAGTGTTGTTGGGCCCCTCCCGGGCTGCTTTTGGGCTTCTTTTGGACACGGAAGGGGTCTTTGAGTCAAAGAGGGCTCCAAGACGCCTCGAAGATGGTTCCGAGAGGGCCAGCTAGCTGTTCTTGGGCTCATCCTGGGCTCTTCAGAAGATTCCGAACAGCTCCCGAGAGAAGCCCAATAGCGCCTCAAGAGCGCCTTCTGACAGTGGGGCCCGAAGGGCCCTCTTGGGTACCACTGCTGGGGTGCTCCTGGGAACTTTCTTGGAGCCCTCCCGAGCCTTATTTGGGCT